ACACATCATATCATGCAGTACTTACCAGTTTTGGAACTAATTTTCAAATGAGTTGAGGCTCTGTCCAAGGTATTCTGTTTCTGTTTTTCAGTGCTGTAGGTTTCTCTATTAATCCAGTGATAGTAAACTTTTAGTATATATCTTAATTTAAGCTAGTTCTTATGTGGGTTAGCACATCTGTTAGTTCAACCAAGTGTGTAGTTTCTAGCTTGTGATTGTTGACATAGGGGAAAGTAGTTGTAAATATAGATTCTAAATGGAATTTGGAGATGACTTGTGTCCAGGATGAAACAAGCCTTTTATACATATTTATAAATACTCTCTCTTCTTCTGCTAATTGTGTACCATAAATGTGAGACATACCCTTTCTCACAACAAATTCAAGGGAGGAAATTCTCTTTCTCACAGTAGGTGTGGGGGAGTTTTCTTTCACTTAGAAACAAACGTGCTCGCTGTTGTGAGCACTATTGTTATCAAATTGCATTAACTAACTTCTTTGATTTAAAGCTTTCAGTTAAATTCTAAATTACAGGTCACTTTTTGCTCTTCACCTCTGGGTCCTTGAGTCCTTCTCTGTTGTAACTCTGTTATGTTTTCCTCTGCAACATCTCCTTCTCTCAATAAAGGTGATTTAGAAATATTTTAATCGATAGGTACTGTGGCTTGATTGCTTTAGATCAATCTCTCCTGTATAAATATCACAGTGCTAATAAATGTGTGTGTTCTTCCTGTAAAAAAGAAAACAAAATACAAAGCATCTCTAAAGAAAGGCTTCTCCATGTTTACCCAGATGTTTTATTAACTTTGTTAGGACGTACAAAAAGACACTTCAATCTTGGTCGCTCGTGTCTGTCTCTGTCTTCTGCGCACTTTTGATTTTGATGAAAATGTGCTTCTGAGACTCTAGAGGAGGTTTTTTTTTCTGATGGATGGCCTTTTTGGGGGGGTCTGTAGTCCTTGATTTTTACATTTTGGGAGAAGTTCTTTACCTGTTGTAACTGCACTTATTTTTACAAATACTTTCATGGCACAGCAGGGACTTAATGGAGAATACTTCATTAGAGGTAAAGCTGCTATTATAAGGTTTTTGTGTGGTTCCAGAGTTAAAATCAGAAATCAGATCTCGAGAAGAGCAAACTAGTTAGGGAAGGATTTACAGAAACTGTCTTTCTGTAACACAGCTTCTTTTAGGTGCCGAACATATTTCTTTTCTCAGTTTCATGGCATAAGAGGAAAACCTCTTGTTCCTACTGTGAAAATGTTCCATGTACCCTTATGAATTTGCTTATCTATGTTTATAGAAAAATAGTAATCCTAAATTTGTATTGAGGACTCACCACGGCTTCACTGTAGTTAGAAGAAAATTCAGTGCTGAGTTAAGTCTGATGCTTAAAAGCAGAAATCTGGTCTTATTTCAGATCCAAAACTAGTGTATTGCATGTTGCTAGTCTCAGTATATAAGCATAGTTTTTTCTTGAAAAAAAGCTAAGTAATTATGTTTAGTGTGTAATTACTAATAAGGCTTTGGAAGAAAATGTGCTTTCAGTGTTTTGTTTGACAGGAAAAGTGGGGAATATATACAGAAGAAGTTGAGAAGTACAAGCAAAAAAAGGTAGAATATGGATTAAGCAACTGATTAAACTGCTCATCAAAAGCATTTCTTTGCATTTTCTTGTTAAACAATGTATGCAAATTTTAAATAAGAAAATTAAAAAAAAAATCCAGTAAGAATTAGCTATAGGTGGTAGGAAGATTCACTACCATAGTAACTACATCTGTTCAGATACTTCATATGAGTGGTGAAAACTTTTTTAAAAAACACCCACAAAACAACCCCAGAACATCTGGGAAATTGATTAATATTTCTGTGGCAAGAGGGAGGGGGCATTGTAGCGAATTAAAAATTACTGAATCCAGGGCTACAGATAGAAAGATGCCATAATTGTAATAGATTGCTGTTGCTTAGCTTCATGTGGGCATACAGATACAGCTACTGGATCCATGGCTTTTGTATTGTAAATTCAGACATGTGGCCCCAAGCAGTTGATGTTGAAAGCTTCAGAAGCAACGACTGAGCAAATCAGGGTAAAAAAATGGAAAAAAGTAAATGGTGATTTAAAAAGACTAGGAATTGTATGATTTGTAGTTGTGTAATTGGGTTACATGATTGTGTAACTATGTAATTTAAAATAATATTCTTAATTTTCTGCTACTTCTAATATCTCATTTTCAGCTGGAGAATTTAGTAGCTAGTTTTATGGACGATTTATATTTTGGCAATTTGTATCTTATTTCAATTTGTTAGCTTTTCAAATCCATGAGGTAATCAAGCTGATAGAAAAGGGAAGATGCATCTCTTATTTACTTTTTTTTTTTTTTTTCTGGGAGGGGGACAAGGACGAGTGATTCTTTTTTTTTGTGAGGTTCAAGAGTTTGTTTGCCCTGCCTCATTCTTTCCCACCCAAGTATTTCCATTGAAATAAAAAATGATAGAGTTAACATGTTTGTGTTTAAATATTAAAATTAAATATAAGTTTTGCAGGCACACAAAATGTAAATATTCAGGGAATTTCATGCAGCTTCAAAAGGCACGTTATCAGGCTGAAGTAAAATACATATATAATATTTTGTTCAAAGAAGATTTCTCAAGATGAATTGATTACTATAAGATACCTCTCAGAAATGTACTGGTTCTAGAACTGTTAGGACCTGGTGCCTTGAAGGACCCTCTCAGGATGCGCAATAATTCTTAGAATATCTGTGGTGGTTGCAAGAAGGAAAACGTTATAAAAATGCTGTATGTAGATACCAAGAAATGATACTTTATAGTTGCTTTTTTTCTCTAAAAATGTGTTCTGTCTCTTTTAAAATGTTTTAACAAGACTCTTTAGAGTACTATTAGATTACTTGTGAAGAAAGGTATCTAAATTTAGCTGGATCTGTGTGTTAAAAATAGTGGGTGATGATGGAACTCTAATCCAGGATCTTACCTAAAAATAGTATCATTTGTATAAGTGGAGGATGGGAGGGCTGTGTGCATTTACCTACAGAAAGTGCATTCTGAGACCAGAGAGGGGAAAGATGCAGATTGAACTACAACTATAATGACTAAAACACTTAAGTGGGACTCAGGGCTAAAATGTTTTAATCCCTCAGGGGATTTAGAAGACATTGTTTTGCAATACATTTATAATTTTTTCTAAGAATTTTAGTTCATCTTATAGATGAGTGTCAGGAGACTTACCTGCCCTGGCAGTGAGTTGTTGTTTTTACATTAAATTTTATTTTGCAGGATAAAGTAATTGAATATTGTTGCTATTTATGTATTCCTTGCTCTGAGAGAGCCCTAGATTTTTATGCTACAAGTCATGTGGATGTTGGTACATGGAGTTAAAACTAACAGACCATAATATAGCTTGATGATAATAATAAAACTTAAAATTGATCCCACCATATGTTCCATGAAGCAATTTTATTTGAGTATCTATCTGGCAAGTTTATGGCCTTGCTTTAAAACATGTTTCAAGGCTGGAAAGCACTTCCTTACAGAGAGGGTGATTAGATATTGGAATAGACTGTCCAAGGAACTGGTGGAGGCACCGTCCCTGAATGCATTCGAGGAAAGGCTGGATGTGGCACTTAGTGCCACTGTCTGGCTGATGAGGTGGTGTTAGGTCATAGGCTGGACTTGAGGATCTTAAAAGTCTTTTCCAGTCTTGGTGATTAGGTGATTCTGTACTGCAAAGCAAATGTGGACTAACTGCTTCTTCTAGTTTATTTGGGAAGAAGATGCTGCAAAGAGAGGAAAGAAATGGTTTGGTCTAGTCTCTTTCTTAGCACAGGGTGTTGTATATCTTGTGTTACACATTCCTATAATATGTATTAAGCTTTCCCTTGAGAATATAGTAGTTTGGGTTTTTCTTGTAGTCATTTTTCTTCACTTTTATTTTGCTAGCTAAAGCTAGCAAACTGTTACAGTAATCTTAAATAGTCTTTATTACTAGTTTGCTTCATCTGTGTTGAATACAGTTGTCCAAAATTCTATAATCATGTATCAGGTACATAAGCATTAGTGGAGAAAACTTGCTGCTATTTTTCCATAGGTCAGAGGCAGATGACTGTTCAAGGAAATAAAACAACGCAGAGATGCAAAGAATAAATTTTAGATTAAATTTCACTGAGACAGGAGTAAAGCTTATGAAAGAAAATATTTTGGAGTATCTGTACAAATAATGAACAGAATCAAGACATTTTTTCTAAGGAAAGGAAATATATTTTATGTAATAATCATTTGATATTCTGAATGTCTATAATTGGGTTTTAAAAATTTAAGTTTATTCTCCTCTGTTTCCACTGAGTGGCCCCTCTCTGTCTCCTTCTTGTCTCAGAAGATACTTTTGCAAAGCATATTACAGAATGTAGTAAGAGCAACTGGGTGGGTGGCTTTTGGGAGGTAATATACTGGTGAACTCAGGCTCAGAAATTTGTCCAGTTGTAGTCAGCATAAAGGGAAGAGCTTTCCTTCTGCTACTGGAATTTTTGGTAGACATTAAAGAGAAGTTTCTTCCTGCCTGGTTACTGTCTGTATTCTAGTAGTGTTAGTGTCACTGCAAGAAAAAGGTACCACGGAATGAGCTTGAGTGTGACATCAAGAGTACCCCTCAGTTATTTGGAAGTAATGAACTTCTGATGCCAGTGCTTTTACCCATTGGTAAATGTGAAGTGGCTTTCCTCATGTTAATTTAGATGAAGAAAATTAAACTTTTTTGAACACACATTTGTGCAAATAACTTGTGATGGAATAAGTTAATACCTTATGAGATTGGACTAAAAATAATAGATCTTAAAGAATAATCCAAAGATGTTTTGGAAGAATAGCTAAATATTATTGGTGTTTCAAAATTTTAAATTCTTCAGCAAAAAGGATAGAAGTCCCACTAACTTCAGAACTGATTTTTTTTTTCAACTCAATACAGTTTTTTGTTGTTTTTATTTTGCAGGATACAAAATTATGGATAATAATGGAATACCTAGGTGGAGGCTCTGCCCTTGATCTAGTAAGTAAATTATGTATGGTTTTGTTATTTTACCTCACTTTTTTTGTTTCCCCAGTCTTACAATTCTATAAAATGCCATCTGTTTATGACAATGTGTTTTTTCCAGTAAAGGAGAAAAAGTATTTGTCAGTGCCATGAAATTATTATTTTCCATGAGGCAGGACTGATTATTTATGTAGATGGAAGGGAACTAAGCAATGTAATAGTGGAAGCAGGATAGGAACATCTTGGAATGCTAATCTTCAGTCAGCCAAAGAGCATTAGTGGCTGAAAATAGTTTTTTCTGTCTCTTAATTCTGCCACCACAACTCCTCCTAGTGTATACATTTGAATGTATCTTCCCCCCAGCACCTTCCTTAAGCGAATAAAAAGTTTCACTATTTGAAGTCTCACTGAAGTCTCAATAAAGGGAAGCACAATTTAAGCTAGTATTAAAAAAGGTATTTCAAGGAAATAGGATGAACTGTGGACTCTGTCAATGGGAGAGAGGTCTTACAGAGAAACCTGGACAGATTAGAGTTAGAATTCAAAAGATTCAGTGCAGATTGTTTTCCATGACTGGATGCTGTGCATTTATTTTAGGTGTTAAAAAAAGCAAACCAAAAAACCCCAAACAAAGCCACAAATTATCTTGTATTTATAGTGCATTTAAAAAATGATATAGTAGAAATAAAAATGGGTGTTTTAAGTGTGTGGAAATAATAATACCAATTGAGATGGAATGTCTCAGTAGCATACTTTGCTGTTCTTTACTAGGTGGGGCAACTAATTGATGCTTGAGGAAAGAATGAATAAAAAAGGTCAGCATAAAGGAATTGTTGACACCCAGAAGATGGGAGAGGGTAGTAAATGCAGGCATCCTACAGTTGTGCTACCATATTTTAATTGGAATTACCTTTTGGAGTCCATTTATTCCTTTTCATTTCTATATCCTGTTAGAAGGAATTCTGTGGTTGTGTAGAAGTTAATCATGGTCCTCATAAATATATGCTGAAAGCAGCTTGTTTCTTGTTGTGATAGATTTTTCCTGACAGAAGAGCAGTTAGAAACTTGGTTTGCTTTTATTAAATAATTACTACTTTATAAATGCTTCAAAAAGATATAAAAGAGCAGAAAGAAAACAGGTATTATGTAATTTTCTTGTATTTTCTTTTAATCACACACATTTCACTTGTTTGTTGACCATGTGTTTATTCCCTAAGTTTGTTCTCAAAAAATAGTACAAAATCTTTGGTCACATCCTAAAATATTACTGAATGTTGTTCTGCTGCATGTTTTCCTAGTTCCAACATGCACGTTATGGTCCACTGGACTCTGGTAGGACAGCTTACACACAGTGTCACATTTCTATACTCAAGGTGAGACTGCATGGCAACCTTGAACTCCTTTTTCAAAGCGGATACATGTCCCGTTAGCCTGGTGTTTTCTGTACTTGAATATGCACTGGCTGCTTTGAAAAATCACACCTTACAAGAGAAAGAACATTTAATAAATTTCATGTAATTTGCTTATCAACTTTGAGTATAATTCAGGTTTGTGGCTGAGGTACAAGCACTATGTGTCTCAGCCTCTAGTCTCTTCCTCCTCACTGAAGTGAGCTAATGTCTGCCAGAAGAGGTTTCCCTCTGTTAGATGTGCTGTATCATGTTGCCAGGCTTTGAACTGGCGCCTGCAGCCCAGCCAGAGCAGAGTCTTGAGAATGCCTCTGGGTTTCAGGGAGTGACAGTATCATGTCTGTTATGAAAGCTTAAACAAAGCACAAAAGAGATTGTAAGCAAATCTACAAAGGTAAACCGACTATTTTGTCTGCTTTACATGAAATCTCATCCATCTTCCTACCTACTAGCCTGAGGATTTCTGAGGGGTGTAATATTTTAACTTTAATCTGAAATGCTTTCTTTCCCACTGACTGAAGCCTCAGGGATACAACTCTTTGATTGTGTTTCGGTGACTGCCATTGTGAAATAAACTAGAATACTGGAATATTTCCAGTACCAATTGTTGTACACAAAGTTTCAGTCTCTCTCAAAATGCCCTTATTGGTTAAGAGACCTTTCTGAGTAGTGACCTTTCCTCTTCCATTAGAGTTAGTGCTTACTCACCTTCGGAATTTATATCCATTGTAGAGAGCTCTGAGATCATCTACCACAGATTTTTCTTCTCATAATGATTAAATTACTTTGGATCTTCAACATAACAATTTACAGACTTATACCTTCAGTTTTATATGAAAAAAAGGTGAACTTTTAAAATATGAAATGCTCTGTCAGCCTAGCAGTTGAGTTGTGTTTTAGAGCTTCACAAAATCTGTTGCAGTGTATGTAGTAGGGTACGTGATTGTTCTGTACCTTATTTTCTTTCTCAGACTTCTAGATTTGGGTCCATATAGGGCACATCTAAGTTCAGTGTAATGTTAATAATCAGATTATAGTGTAGCTGCTTTTCAAACACAGTGTATATAGCTGTGACCTGACCACAAAGTAGTAACTTGAAACCGTGTCTTTATGGAGCCTTGAAAAAACTTCTAAGTGTTTTTGTGTAAATGAAGTATTTATTTGCTTGCTGTTCATAAGGCCACTTTTTTTAGAACTATGCATTTTTAAAAAGAATACTCTGGGTTGTATCTGTCTCATGTTTAGAAGTTAGCAAATTGAAGTTCTGAGGTGGGACAGAAGGCATTTTATAGTCTTTTTATAGCCTCAGTGTTATTTCTGTCCTCTCTGTTTCTCCTTTTTATATAGGTACGTATGTATACACACACACACACATAAATACTTCTTGTGTCTCCTAGTTAGAACCTGGCTCCCTTGATGAAACTCAGATTGCCACAATATTGAGGGAGATACTCAAAGGACTGGATTACTTGCATTCAGAAAAGAAAATCCACAGAGACATTAAAGGTAAATAGTTTTTTATTTGGTTTGTAACAATATTAGAAGAGCTCATGCAGTATAAATGAACACCCTTCCAGTGTTAAATGTCTTAATTTCCACTATTTCCTCTTCTTTATTCCAGCTGCTAATGTATTGCTGTCTGAACAAGGAGAAGTAAAACTAGCAGATTTTGGAGTAGCAGGACAACTAACAGATACACAGATAAAGAGGAATACTTTTGTGGGAACACCATTTTGGATGGCACCTGAAGTAATAAAGCAATCAGCATATGATTCAAAGGTAAAGTATTTCAGGGCATTAGCCAAATGCCTTTTCTTAACTTGAATTACTTAGGCTGGTCTTCAGACTGTAGCTAATAACTTTAGTTGTGTCCAGGCAGGTGCATGTTTAGATACTTAGCAGCTAAAAGCTGTTGGCAAGGAAAGAAGCTTTCTGAAGTTGTATCCAAAGTTTAAGTTTCCCCAATTGCTGGGAAGGAAAACATGCATTGAAGCCATCTCGAGCCCATTGCCCTTTTCAAAGTTTGTTTTGTTGCTTACTCAATTTTTATACTTCTATTAGCCTGAGCTACACATACACTTCCTTGCTGCCCCTCCCTTGCTCCTCCCACATGCTGGTCTGGCTAGCTCAGTAAGACATTGCTCTGCTGTTTATATTGGGGAAGGCTGTTTGCACAACCTAATGACCCTCTGGTGCAGCTGTGTATCTGAAACAAAGGTCACCCTCAAGTTCCACTTGTGTTGAGATAAGATCAGCTTTCTTTCTGATAATTCTTTGTGTTCTTTCTTGAACTCATATTTCTTTACCCACCTCCTCTGATCCCCTTAGAGGGATTTGTTGATTGGTCACATCTCCATGCATCGAGACAGATTGATGTGTTTTTTTCCACACTCATCCATGTAAGGAGCTCGCCAATATTGACTCTGGCCTAGTTGGTAGTATTACTTTCCTATTTGATATATTTCTGTAGAGACACTATTTAAAAATAACTAGCAGAGCTCTGTAGAGCCTCTAGAAGTTTAAATTACCCCAAATCCCCAATTTGAAGGTTGAGTAAACTATTTCTTTTATTATTATTAGTGGATGGTGTTTTCGGTTTTGTTTGGTTGTTTTTGGTGTTAGGGTGTGTATGGTTGGGGCTTTTTAAGGTTTAGCTTCTGCGAATTATTTTCACTTGGACAAAGTGTGATTCAGTCCTCAGGTTTTGAATTCCAGCTGTTTCTGTCTCAAATGTCATCTGGTCATAAAAAGGTCTTGGATACTTGACCAGTTCCCTAGAAGGCCAGTGCTCCAGTGTTGAATGAACTAGAGATACTTACTTGTTTCTGTGAGCCTTTTGGCACTTCAGAGACCAGACTAAATGGTACAGACAATAATTTTGCTGCTGTTGCACAACAACCACTTGAGAAGGCCTGTTTATTTAACATAGTCTTTTATATATGTCAGAACACAAACATCCAAATCCAGCCTCATTTTCCTTCTGTACTACTGAATTGTTTTAACTGTGTGTGACTAACATTTTCCTTTCTGTCAATATTTGAGTCTTGCCCTGTATTTACATAGTGTACTTGAATATGGTGGCTAAAATGCTAGTTTATAACAACTTTACATTACTTTAAAAAATATTTGTTTAAAGATCAATTATAAGTCCCAGTTTAATATTGATGATTTTAAAAGGTTTTAAAACTCTTAAGTAGCACTGCTTTATGCTGTAGAGTAAAACAGTGAAGGAACTGTGTACTTTTTGTGTGTAGCCACATAAACCAGACTATGATAATAAAACCAATTTGCATATAAAATTATTTATAGTAAAGGTTTAAAAGCTACTTTTGTAAGCAACAGTGTTTCTTCTCTTTCTCTGACCTTAAAAGCATTGTTTCTTACAGGCGGATATCTGGTCATTAGGCATAACAGCCATAGAACTTGCAAAAGGAGAGCCACCTCATTCAGAATTACATCCAATGAAGGTTTTGTTCCTCATTCCTAAGAATAATCCACCAACACTGGAAGGAAACTTCAGTAAATCCCTCAAAGAATTTGTTGAAGCCTGCTTAAACAAGGACCCAAGCTTTGTGAGTTTCATCTGTTTGTCAGTGTATAGTGGAGAACTTCACTGCTTTACATGAATTACACAAATAAGTGCAGTTCTGTTGGGGCAGTTCTTATGGGGGCAACATATTCACCAGTGTGTGTGTATGTGTGTGTATATATATATATATATTTAGCTTCTGTATATATTTAAAATCTCATTTGTATCAAGACTGAAATCTGGATTTCTTAGTCTTTTTATGGTGAGTCACTTAACACTCTCAAATGCAATACAAATTTGTTTTTCTCTTTTCTTTCTTTTTTTTTTTTTAAGAGGCCTACTGCAAAAGAGCTCTTAAAACACAAATTTATTTTACGAAACTCAAAGAAAACTTCCTACCTGACTGACCTTATTGACAGGCACAAGAGATGGAAGTCTGAACAAAGTCACGACGACTCCAGTTCCGATGACTCAGATACGTAAGTTTGATGAGTTTGTAAAATATCCTGTGTAAATACAGGACCCAAATAGTTATTTTTAGCACATATATTCCTGTGTTCTGTTATTTACAGCCTTTCAGCTGAGAAGCCTTGGTAAACTAATGAAACCTTGGTTTCAGCATTGCAAGGGATTTAATGCAAATAACAATTATTGAGAACAATTCTTCTGGCCCATTTCATACTACCTTCTCTTTTACCCAGGGCCTAAGTTCTTATGTGGACATAAGGCAAACTGTTATTCCTATCAGGAGAGTAGAAGTTGGGCCTCACCCTGCATGGCCAGGTAGCAGTGTGCACATGCACTGTCCTGTCTAAGGAGGGAAGTTTTCTCCTTGGTGGCACATTGTCCCTCATTTTGGCTGAGTAAACAGGCAGAAGCATATCCTTGCATATAAGGGTTAGTGGACAGTGCTTCTGTGGCAATGGGGTTTTGGGGTGTGAACCTTTACCTAGGGTTTTTTTGAGAGGGTGTTTAGTCATGAAATGTCAAGTTATTTATTGAAGAAGGACAAGTGTTGTAAGTATTTCCAGATTTCTCTTTCCAGTTCTTACTTCTTTCCATGAAATTTTGCTGGAGCTGTTCAATAGGTTCCTGAGTTGGTTTCCTTAAGAAACCAAGTTACAAATAGTTATGACTCAGTTAAAAAGTTGAATTTGTTTCAAAAAGTAATTTTGAAAATAGTGGGTATCATCAGATTACACACTTTTGAGTATCAAGTGAATGGCTTGACACAATTTATTCACAAATGGATTAAATTCCTCATAACTAAGAAAATGTAAGTATTCTCTGCAATTCCAGTCTCAGCTTGGTTGTAATTTCTTGGCTGCAATTACAGCTGTGTGTTTGTCCTGCATTATTAATAACTTCATGCCTTTCACTGATCACAGTTCCAGCTCCAAACCAGGTCTGACTTGGAAGGCAAATTACTCGTCTTAAAATTGGTATCAGATCAGTTACTAACGTTGTTCCTGTGGAATACTAGACCAGAGTTGATAGCTTGGCACAGGAGAGCAGTGGAACAAGAATGGTTACTGAGTGCTTGTGAGACAATTTCACATTACTTCTAAGCCTGCTTTCCCCTTCTCTCCTTCCCTTGTACTGTTACAATAAAAGGCTGAGTTGATTTGGCATGCTGGAATACTAACTTTCCAAATCAAGACATTTTTTTTGGTTGGGTGAGCTTGCTGGAGATGTGTACTATGAAGGTACACCTGCCTCTTCCAGTGACAGACAGAAGTTCTACATGACTTCAAGCAGAAATCCTGGAGAATTTTCTTACACTACTCACGTGCTTTTTGACTTGTTAGGCTATGCTAAATACTTCTGTAGTGTGGCCACTAGATGTCCTTTTAATTGGTGGTTTTCTTGCAGATCCCTCTTAATTCACAAGTCGAAATGAAATGAACTTAGCAAAGGACATTTGTGGTAGTGAGAGGAGAGATGTAATGCAGTGACTGATCAGTGTCAGCGTAAATACTTCCATTCTTTTAACTTATCAGGAGTTACAGAAAAAAATGCTCTGCCATCCACAAAAATATGAGGCAGGAGATTGATTTATGGTGATGTAGTTCATTAAAGCCTTGCTCTTTCTGTACTTTTTTTAGCCATTTATTTTACAGTGGGGAATTTACCTTGCTAACAGGCCAGTGATGAACTGTCTTCCTCAAAGGGAATCTAAGCGAGCATCTTAATTATTTTTATAGGCAAAAAAGTGAATTAAGTCTTCTGATTTTTTCCCCTGTCCCTAATGGTCTGAGATAACCTGCTAAAGCCATTCTTCAGATAACAATAAAAGACTTTGTGTTACTTGTTTTTGTAACTTGGGAAAACATTTTCAATCTGTAACGTCTCTCTTTTTGGAGTTACTTTAACATTTAGTGGAGTGTCTTGGTTTTATTTTTAAAATTTCCCCAAAAGATAAATTACATTACTGTTCATACTTGTCTTGATACTTATTGGCTTGCATGATAGAATTCCGGTGTTTCTTGTGACTGTAGTTTTTATGTTTAGCATGTGTATTGAATGAACATGGACAGTAAGGTGCAGGTAATAAAACTTGTTCTTTTTTTTCTCTCCCTTAAAGTGAAGATGGCCAGGCTTCAGGTGGGAGTGATTCAGGAGAGTGGATCTTTACAATAAGAGAAAAAGACCCCAAGAATCTAGAGAATGGAGCAGTCCAGCCTTTGGAGTTGCAAAGAAATAAGGTGCCCGAGCAAGATTTTATTTTAAAAACATCTTCTGTCTATAAAATAAACTTAATCCAGTACAGTACAAAGCTAGGCTGGGGTTTTGGGGAAGGCATTCTGGTCTTTTAGGATAAAAAACTACAATATAGCAAAGAATAGAATGTGCACATCCAAAAATAAACTAAACCCAAAATGCAGACTAAGGGATGTTTAGGAGCTGCTCCATTGTATTTTGTGCAGCCTGTGTGGCAGGACTAGGTGGTTGCTACCTTGCTCTCAAAATTCTGTATGTTCTTAACAGAACTGGAAAGATATAAGAAAAATATGGAAGGAACCTACTAAGTATCAGCGCAAGTGTGATTTAGGACATGCTCTGTAGGATTGTGGGGTTTTGGGGTTGTTATTTGTTGTTTTGTTTAAAATATTGAGCCTACATATATATTTGAGGTGCTGCAGCCTCAAATTTTAATTCAGCCTTTGTTCTCCACAGTGCTTTGAAAGTAGTCTTTTGTAGAACATGTTACACATTCGTATATACATAGAAACAGATTTTTCACAAAGTGTAGTGTGTTGGAATTATCTTTTTTTCTTTAATTAGAAACAGAATACTATGAGGATGCATTTTTTCAGAAATAAGATTGGTCAGCGTTTTGTTTTCTTTAAAGGAAAAGGACATCCCAAAGAGGCCTCTATCCCAATGCCTGTCTACTGTGATATCTCCTTTATTTGCAGAGGTAAGTTACTGCTTTTAAAACTTAACAGTTATAGGATTTATGTCTCTGAAAAACAGAAAAAGGGGATGAATGACATCTCAGGTTTCCACAACCCATTTGGAACCTGGTGTGTTACAGTTCTAGCGATACTGTTTGCTTTCACGCATGGCTGCGTTTGAAGTATCTGGTTTGCTTCTCACAACCCTCATATGCACGATAGTTACATCAACCATGCTAGCCTAAAGCAATGAACATGAAAAACAAAAAGACGTGGAAATGTTTGGATTGCAGCATTCCATTTTTTGACACTGCTTTATCTCTTTATCTGTCATTTTAGCTGCTACAAATTTTAAGTTCTTCGGTGTTCCAAGATGTGACTGAGGACCAGATCAGCAAGAACTTAACTTTTGGATTTCAGTTGCAAACTGTGTTTTGTTTGCATTCTGAATTTTATATTTATTTATATTTGTTTTTCCAAATGCTTACAAATAACTTAAAAAAAAAAATCAGCTGAAAGGGAAGCCAGATATTTATGATGATGTTATTATTTAAAAAGTTGATAGAACTCTAAAAACCAAAACCTCCTCTCTCACCTTAGCTTTCCTGTGAAATTCTGTTATCTAAATAAAATGTTTTCAATCATTGTAAAATACAGAAATCATGTAAGAGAAATTGTTCTAATAGAAGAATGTTGTCTTAATTTTATTCTAATGAATAGTCTTTTGATTATAATCAAAATCTGCATGCTGCTCATGAAGAATATTGAGTGCAGTAAAGCCATGAAACTTATTTAAGGGGATGACCTCTGTATTGGTTGTTCAGACTTCCGTATTGAGTCAACCTGTCATTCTTCTATGTAAAGTGGAGAAATGATTTAAATGAGGATTTTTTTTACATCTTCCATTGCAGTTATTTATGTTATACCCACCTACTTGCCTCTGAGAATTTTCTTTCCACTTTCTACCCAAACTACAGAAATCAAAACACACCCTGAAAATGAGCGCTTGTCAATTAATTTTAAGCGTTTAAGCGTTTAAGCGTTGTCACGCTTGTCAATTAATTTTAATCTTCCCTACCCAAACTACAGAAATCAAAACATACCCTGAAAATGAGCAAAGTTGTCACGCTTGTCAATTAATTTTAATCTTCAGTGACTACCACTGAAGTGAAATCACCCTGATGTGGTTTCTCTCTCCTGAGGTCACTGGCAGAATACTGCAGACTGTGACTCATTCTGGGTTCCCTTCTGAAGGCTGGAGTTCCAGAGGTGTCCTTTTGTTAAAGTTCCCACTATTGTCATCTTCTGTTGTCTTGCTCTCAAGCTGTGACTTCCCAGTTTAGACTAAGAAAGGGTTACTGGGGAAAGAAAAGGCATTTGTGTCTTCCTGTTGGCTGTGTTTTGTCTGCGGGATCTCACTCTGGAGCATCCTGAATGTGATGAAAAGAGAACACAAGCAGCAGCCAAAGAAGAGTGCAGATGCCCTTCTACTTCTGTGGCTGTACCTCAGCTGTTGTACAAGCACAGAGTCATCTTGACTTCCTTCTGTTGAGACCTGAGTTAAATTCAGAAGGGTGTCCTAACATATTTATAAGCCATCACTAAATGTGAAGCTAGAACAACATATTTCGTTGCCAGACTCTGATTCCTTTTTAAAGAAATCCTTTCCTCAGTGCTTATGGCAACTCTTGTGCTGTAGTTCCTGACACCTGTTGGAAGTCCACTTCAGAATCTCCTGAAAGGCCACTTTAGTGCTTGGACATTGCTGAAGAGCTTCACCCTTGCTTTGTTCTTTTCAGAATGTCTGGTACTACACTTGACTAAAAATTATCTTCATCTGTTAATCTGGCCTTCTGAGGACATGCTTATTCCCTGTGACAATATGCATGCCCACATTATAGCTTGGGAAACAGTACAAACTTACCATTTGTTCAAGCTAAGCTTCCTTCATTACTGGCAGTAATGGCACAAAGACAGTGGCTCTAGGTTGAGCATTCAGAGATGACTCTTAAATGAATTGAAAAATTTGCAGAGAAATATGTAGAAAAATATTTCACTGTTCTTTAGGTCTATGTAAACAACTCGAGCTCTTTAGTGTGAAGAACTCATAAGCAGGGTCATCTTCCAACTGGAGTGTTTTTTCATCATTTTGGTTTTTTTTTCTCTGAGAAATTACTTTAATTCCATCCTTGTAAAAAGCAAAGCAGCTCTTTACAGCAGCTGTAGTGCTAAACATAGAGGGAAACTTGTAAATGCAGACATGCAACCTGCTAGGGAAAAGTCCTGTCCCTGAAAGAAGGTCATAACCTTCTTTCAACTTTACTACTCGTGGGAAGACATTTTTATTTCCAAGGAAGCCCAGACCCTGCTGAGATTTTTCAATGTTCTTTAGTGAGTTCTGAGAAAGAAAGCATTTCATCAGCTGTACTGAGTGTGTTTTACCGGCTCCTGCCGAAGCGAAGCGCTAAGCCTTTCCCTCTGAGCCCTCAGTTCCTGACTAGGTGTGGGATTCTTTGCTTCAAGGGGGAGATGAGAAAGCACTCAGGGTACTCTGTTGCTGGAGTGGACAGGGGGAAAACATTCTAACAGTGCTTGCACAAGTGCACCTTCCCTGTGTCTGTGTGAGCTATAGGTGTATGGTGTATGTATGCTGAAGTGAGTATGTATAAGCAGAACCTCTTGGAACGGAGCAGCTACAGGTAAATTGTGCATCTTCTCTTGGGATATTTTGTCACAATTTTTGAATGTGAGCATGCTGAAAAGGGTATGTTAATGACTGAAGATTTGTGGAGATGAATGGCATCCTGATAACTACTGCAAAGACTAACTTCTGGATGAAAAAAGTCATCAGGATGTGAGGGTGTAGAATGAAAGTCAAATCCTGACATTGTGAACACTAGTGGTCACTTCCTAACAAGCTTTGGCATTATATTGTTTATATAAATATTTATTAATACCTTATTAATATATCTCTTCCTATTTTTCATTCAGTTGAAAGAAAAGAGTGAAGACTGTGGTGGTAACACAGATGCCATAGAAGAACTGAGAAAGGCTGTTTATTTAGCTGAAGAGGCTTGTCCGGGCATCGCAGATAACATGGTGTCACACCTCGTGCAGAGGCTTCAGAGGTAATGAAACTATTTCAGTAAGGGTTACAGAAAATTGCAGATCTCATTCTACAAATGTTTGACTAGTGCTACATTGAAAGAATTAATTTATGTTAAAAATAGAGGAAAAAAAAACACCTTACATTGCTTACATTTTGTACAATCTTATTTGCTTAGTAGAAAACAAAACAAAACAAACCCCAATTGTATCAACAGTTCTAGTTTCTAGCTTCAGGTGATAGTCCATGTGTACGTTCATCGTGTTGCTGTGCATATTGTGTGTCAAATGAGACTGGACAGCCTTTTCCCTCTGCAGTCCCTCTAAGGGACATGCATTCTTTCTTAGCATCAAGGTGTATACTGCAGAGGATGCCCAGCATCACTCGTAATTTCTGATACTCACTTTAATAAAATGAACTGGTCAGCTAGTTTGTGTTTCTTTCAGTCACATAATTAGTGATTCCTTGTTTGTTCTTTGAAGACATCCTCTATGGCTTTTTGGTGGTACCTCCAGAACCAACTTTTTTTTTATTACTTCAAAAGGCCAGTTTTCATAAGATATTTTCTAGCAGCCTAAGTTAGGAATATATTCTTAACAAACACTCAAATTGCTGTTCTTAAATGCTACACAAGAAAAGATCAGGGTATAAATCTCAGGATTACTGCTTGAAGAGGCTTTAAGTGCAACCTTGAATCCAGGAACCCACAGCTGTTGTGAATCTACACTGTCCAGCTTGGATGGTACTAGAAAAAACTCATGACAATGATTAAACATGGACTGCTACCTTACAATAATAGAATCATAGAACCATTCAGTTTGGAAAAGACCCTTGGGATCACCAAATCCAACCATCATCCCTACTCTACAAAGCTCTCCCCTAAACCAGATCCACCAACACCACATCCAAACAACCCTTAAACACATCCAGGGATGGTGACTCAACCACCTCCCTAGGCAGCCTATTCCAGTGTCTGACCACTCTTTCTGTGAAAATTTTTCCTAATGTCCAGTCTAAACCTCCCCTGTTGCAGCTTGAAGCCATTCTGTTGAAAAAGATCACCCTGAGCAGGTGTCTTCCTTATACTCTCTCTAACCACAGCCTGGCAAAGCTTGAGAATTCACACCTCTGAAGTTAAGATGCACACTTTCAGCCTGACACTTTGTATTTCAGTAAAAATCAACACCAAGACGTCTGCAAGCGATGGTGTTTCTTGCTTTCAGCAAGCATCTCTAGTGCTAAAAGGTCCTGAAAAAGATCACCCTGAGCAGGTGTCTTCCTTATACTCTCTCTAACCACAGCCTGGCAAAGCTTGAGAATTCACACCTCTGAAGTTAAGATGCACACTTTCAGCCTGACACTTTGTATTTCAGTAAAAATCAACACCAAGACGTCTGCAAGCGATGGTGTTTCTTGCTTTCAGCAAGCATCTCTAGTGCTAAAAGGTCCTTACCCTTATTCTCCTTTCAAGTGATTCTTGCAGGCACAAAAGAGTTTCTAGAGCTTCTATCTCAGTTTGTTTCCATTATGGGTTTCAAAACTGACCTCAGTCTTTCATCAGCCCAATATTTCAGTGCCAGATTTCTGTCAGTCTGGTACACAGCCTTCCTGGAACTGGGAATCTCAAAGACTTTTGATGCTGCAATGGAAGCTGAAAAAATGACCCTGCAGAGACAGGCACTTCTCTTTGGGGGTGCTGGAGATAAATCTTACTTAATCCTGTCATGACAGCAACAGTCATAATTTTTGTCATAGCACCTAAGTTTCAGAACCCTTTATATACCTATTTACCTTTTTGTTTTCCCTCTGTTGTTCTTCCTCGGACTGTTGGTGATTTTCTTGTTCATAGTGTCTTATTGTAACAGTGGAATCTGGCACTTCATTTCCTGTGAAGGAGAGAATGAAATATTCACAGGGAATGACTGTTGATGGGTCACATCTGGGTAAACCTTGTGGCAGGGAGATACTCATCTAGTATGTGATTGTGACTAGGAATCCTTCCAGAGAGTGAGTGGAAGAAATTAATGGAAAGATTCCTCCCTAAAAAGGAATTTAAACCATTCCAGAGCTTAGTAGGTATCACTCGTGCAAAAAATACCAATTTTTGGAGCTACTCAACTGCTGAAAAGATAGTTTCCTCTTGTTTGAATATTGTAAGAAGTATGCTCTGTTACATCGTTCAGTCATCTATTGTATCTGCTGGCAATATCCTCTCAATTTGAAAGGTAACTACTGAAGATGGCTCTTCAATAACACGTTTCTCATGGGATTTTCATTCCCCTTATGATGGGTTAAAACTGGATTTCCCAAGTCTGTCTGAAGTAATTAGTTGGGACTGTCAGAAGAGCTGCCCAATAACTTGAATGAGTCCATTTACCTTCCCCCTCCAGTTTTGATCTCTGATATTTTATAAAGTTTATCGAAAGCTTAATATAGTTAAAATGTGTGCTGCTTTCCTTGGGTGATTTAAGAATCTGCTTTGACCAAGAAATACAGGTTTCCTGCCCCAGTAATATTTTGGAAAGATTACATTGTAAACTTGCTAAGTAGGGAAGTTGGAATCACAGAATTTTGCCCCCAGGATACAGAATTCTTAGATCATCGTATACGTGTGCGTAACACACTTGGACACAGGTTGTTGCTGTTGGTTAGCAAAGCAGCAATATTCTGCTGTTCAGTACTACAGCTTTTGTCTTTAAAATGTGACAGCAGTGCTGGGTGTCATTCTGCAAGGAAAAAGGCTGGAACTTCAGCAGTATATAAGGGAGTAACTTTTAGTTGCTGCTTGTCATGAAACACCTGCCTAAAAGTCCTAATAACCATTTCTTTTTCTCTTCAGATACTCACTAGCTGGAGGAAGTACTTCATCCTACTGACATACTGTTCCTGAGTTGTCTAAGACAGCAGCAATCCCATGGTGGAGCACACCCTAATGTTGTTCTGCCCCTCAGTCAACTAGAATGTCCTTTGCTGGAAGGACATTCCTAAATGTGCAGGAGTGAAAATGAAGTCTCTTGGATGGAGACAGGCTTTTTCAGCTCCTTAAAGCTATAATTATTATTTTTTTTAATGATAATGCACATATTCCAGGGAGGTGTCTTTTTTGTAAATCTGAAATGTATATTTAGGTTTGTGATAGTGAAATTGAAGATATTGAGAAACCTCAGGTATCTTGCTTTAAGAATTCCACTGGGTGATGGAGTATGTTTGTTGGAATTGTGTACAGATATGTATATAAAGTCTTTTTTAACCTAAAGCCTTTCAACGTGCATAAGGAATCACTGTGTACAAAATAGTTAAGTGCTTCTGTAGATAATGTTAGTGGGGTAAATATTGACAGGCCATAACTGAGTATTGCCTTGCCTTTATTATGTGTACATTTTGAATTATGTGGTAAGTGAATCTTGGTTTGATTTTTGTATGGGAAGGATTTGCCATTGGAAGAGTTAATCTTGTACTGTGGAACCTTCTATTCATACCTCAGCAAAAACAGAATTTTAGTCTGTTTCTCCAGTATTTCTTCCTTTAATCTGTATTCTGCATGTAACTTTTTAATTATGGTACTACTTCTGGTTTTAAATTTAATACACCTTGTCTCTCAAAGCTTTACATTATTTTTTTTTTTCCCCTAAAGAGTAAGCTCTTTCATGTTTTCAGTTTTAAATTGTGCCAACACAAATTCTGAACCATACGTATTGTTCAATTTTAAGAACAGACATCTGTGAAGCTTGTAGTGAAATTGAGGTACAATCTTTTTTTCACCTAAACACATCCGAATGCTCACACAAATAAATCTTTGGTCTCTCTATTGATTCTGAAATATCTCATTGAGATATTGGCTCTGAGACAGTGGCAAATATTTCTTCATCATGCCTATTTTTATCATTAAAATTAATGCCTTGCAGCATAAAAGAAAAATTATCCATATATTGAATATTTGGTCTTGCTGCCTAAAACTGGGCTTCCTTTTCCTGAGGGAGACAGATGTTATACATAAAGACTGCAAAACTGAACCTGAATGCTGTGCTCTGTGTCCTATTATTTGTCTCCCTAGAAAAAAAGTTCCTTCTTGAAAACTCTGAGATTCGAAATTCCCACTGATCCTGCGAGTGTCCCTAAATAGCTGACTTCAGGTTTTATAAGTCTGGGAGATAGTAACATTAGTTACACAGTTGATGAAGTGGCATTTTTTCCCCACAGTATTACTCTGAGGTTCACATTGGTTTGTTTCACCAATGTTATATTCTGGTAGCTAGGAGAATATTTTTGCTGCATTTTTAATGAAGAAATGGGGAATTTTATGTTTTGCAGGACAGTGAGATAACTTATTAATCATTTTAATGTTGTGGGTTTTTTTTTGTTTTTTTTGTTTTTTTTTTTAATATAGGTATGAGTTTTGGGACAGAAAGGATTAGAAGTTTAGAAGTGTAGGCATATTTACCTGGCTTGGTACAAAAAGACCCGGGTTCTGTAATGATTCTGGAAGCTGGTGGGATCTCTTGGCAGAACTTCACGTCACTATGGTAGCCCATATTCTATGCATATTAATAGCCTTAATTATCAATGTAATATTTTCACCATTAGAGAACACTGTCATGTTAACAGAGCTATGAAACTTCTAACCAGGTTGAAACAGCAGCTGAAAGAAGTGGGCACAGGCACATTCTTGCTTGTAGCCACATTCTTAGACACAGCAATTTGTAGTTTGCCAGCATAATGAGGGAACAGGTCTCCTTTATGGCTAAGTGAAATTCAGGTAGCTTGAGCAATGCTTTATAACTCTTCTTTGATTGGTATCTTGAAATAGGTTGTTTTGTGTGCTCTCAAACACTCAGAACAGGCTTACCCTTGAGGGAACACATGCAGCTCTGCTGTTGTGAAGTGTGCACCTGAGCGCAGCTCAACGGGAAGGGAACCTGTTGGCATCTCAGTATGAAAATAGGGAGCCATTTAGGGAGTATATGCTATTTACTGCATGTGGAAATAAGCAGCTGTGTTTGCATTTGAGTTATAAATAGATTAATGAAAGCTTTTGCCCAGTCATCTGTTAATGTAGAGACTTGAAATTAAAGTGAACTTACTTGGAGAGGCACAGAATTCAGAGATCTAGTGGGGAAATTAAATTTATGGCTCTGGCTGGAAAAAAAAAAAAAAAATCTCAATCAGAAAATTAAATTCAATTCTAAAATATGCTATTTTTGAACAATCATTTAAAAGTTGCACATGCCTGTTTTTGAGTTGCATTTTAGTTGTGTTCTGGGACTGAATGTTGATGAAATACTTCTCTGAGTAGATTGTGGCAGTAGTTACTTGGTGATTGTGTCCCTTGTTTTAGGAGCTTAACACGAGTAGGGCCTAAAGCAAGGACAATTGGTCAAAAGGCTGGGACATTTAGAAAAAGACAAGACCTCATTTATGGTAGAGATGTGTATTTTTATATGTAATATATAGATTATTTAAATATAGACTATCTTAAACTGAGATTCACTGAAACAAGCGTGCTGTATCTTGAATGTAAAATTACAATCATTTGCTATTGAAAAGCACTGATGCTTTAAAAATCAGATCTATATTGGTAACAGAGGAAGAGCTTCATTGGAAAGAAGCACGGCCTCGGTTTCTGGAAGAAAAAGAAGTGACTTGATATTTTAGGGAGGTTGTGCCATGCTATAAACATTTCTGCGCTCCAGTGTTGCAGTGATGGCTTTTCTGTGCAGGTAGTACTCCTTCACTCAGTTTTGAATATACTAAATGACAAGCTATCCCTATTTATGCAAACATCTCAATTAGTGGAACTGCTTATTTGTCAGGGATTTTGAAATTAGGCAGTAAATAAACTCATGGTTTAAAAAAAAAATAAAAAATCAGTCATTCGAACTGGGGGCTTGCTTTTTGTATGTATCAGATGTGTAATCTATTTTTTTAACTTGATTTTCCTTGCAGTTGCACTTGGTGGTTGATCAGCAGTTTGCTAGAGCGCCAGGGCAGGGTCACTATCCTACAGCAAAGCCCTTTGTGTAGAAAAAAAAACCCTGCAGAGCCACACACGGCTCCTCTGCAGCCCCGGGCATTTTGTACATGTTTGTGTGGGCACAGACAGATGAACCAGTTACTGAGGAGTGATGTAACTGGGAGTTCTGTCCCCACGGGGCTGGTGGGGCGGGAGGAGGGGGAAGGTGAGAGCATGTACCTGGGCACTGCACTGCAGGCTGTGAGGTCGTGTCCTGCTTCATCCACCCCAACTCCTTCATCTGCCTGTGCTTTTAATGTACTTGTGAAACGTCTCCGTTAGCTCTTAGTACTTCATGTGGCGTTCCAGCTTAATTTCTTAAAGATCTGGTACTAGTTTGTAATAGTTGTACATTAGCCTTACTTTTAAGGAACCATATTTTTGCCTTTGTCACCATTGGAGATTATCAGACATGCTGATAAGCACAGGTATAATGCAAGGATCAGTACAAGCGTACATTATTTTTGTAAGTTGCCGGGGAAGAGCTTAAAGTACAGCACAAATCTGCAAGCTTGCTCTTTTTAAATATATTTTGCAGATGTACTAGTAATTGCACTGAGCATATGCAGTAAACAAATTGTATGTAATGGTTTTCTGCCTTTTAAAGCATGATTACAGAGGACAACTAAGGTGTGTATCTTGTTTTCTGTAATATTGCTGCCTGTTTATAACCGTGTATGTAAATTTTACTTTTGTCACTCCACACCAACATGGTAAAACACCTTGTAAGCTACATGACCTAGAAATAAAGAAGGAAAAGTTTAATGAAATTTTCGCCATCTGAGTGGTCAGTAAGATGAGACTGGGGGGGGGGTGTCTCCTCCCAGGAGGGATGGATGCTCTTGTGGGTTCCTAGCTCAGTTGTTGCCCAGGTGTAAGGAATAGTAAGCAGAAAGTTTCTAAACTGATGTTCACTTTGTTATCTTAGAGTTGTTTAAACTCAAACAAGAGTTTCTGAGCAAGAATGTTAATATTTTTTTTCTGTTGAGTGACTTGGTACGCTCATATCTCACAGACGGCCTAACAGGTGGGAAGTTCAGTTCTTTTCTTGGGGAAGGTTTTTTTTATCTACACATAGAAGTGATTGATAACATTCTGTTTTGGTTAAATAAGTGCAGTTCCATATTACAGTTTTGTCCTACAATGAGACAATGTGCCCATTCACAGATGGCAACAATTTAAAACTGCTCCATATTCTGCATCCTGCCAGCCCAGAGAAACTGATGAGGGGCTCATATCAAGTGGCATGAGCTTAACTCCAGACATCACAACTGTAATTACCCGTATAACCCAGTGACAAGCCCAGCTGTGTTCCTGTAATTATATTTCATTACTATTTTATCCTGTTTTGAAAAAATAAGGTACATGTGGCACTCTGCCAGTTTCTGTTTTTTTTTTTTCTCTTCCACCTTTTCTGTGCCCTGGCTGAGAGGGAGGATGTTTGTGTGCTCTAGCAAGGGCAGTTGCATATCTGCACATCCATCGTTAAGTTTTATTTTGAGGGAGAAGAGCAGGAAGTTTGTCCTCTGTAGAAAGGAAAAAATAAAAATGGCCAAAATCAGGCCTTTCAGGCCTTGCTTATTTCCCTGTTTTTTTTCTTGGCTGATGGAATGGTGGGATACTGTCCCTGTTTCATCTCTTAAAACATTTTCCTTGTGTGATTTATTTTCTCTGTTCAGACACTTATCAAGATTTCTTCAGTCACGCTGTGTGTCCCCCTGCCTGTTGACTTCCTTCAGTCTGTCATTTTTGGCTGGTTTCAGCTGAATTTACAACAGGATTGAGGTCTCAACAGTGTTTAAGTGAAATGTGAAAACAGGTATATTATAAATACTCATGCCTTAGTAAAAGTTAAGTTCTGGCCAGCAGAGATGTGCTGGAGCAACTTGGCCTGGTGGATGCAAATCCAACCTCATGCCGTGTGGTGCGACCTCTGTGGCAGTGAAGTTCTTTGTGGCCATGGTGTGAAGCTGCCAACTGATCTTCACGGTGAGTAAAAACAAGAGGAAAGCTCCTTGGGTGACCAGTCTGGGGTTGTTTTCCCACAAGGGGTGTGTTTAGTCCTGGCTACTAACCTGACACACGGTGACCCGTGCGCCTCCACGCCTCGCTCGACTGGGCAGCGCTATCCGGTGAACTGGGCTTAAAAGTGAGTGGTTAAAGGTTACAGCTTTCTAGTAAGCTTTTTATTCACACACCTGGGCTTCAACTGATTCTAAGTTATGACTGTCAAGACAGTCACTTTTATTCTCTTACTATTATTTCAGTTTTGGGTTGGCCTTAGGAATAAAGACCTAGAAAAATGCTGACAAATTCCAGCTGCTCAACTGGAGCCAATGGAAAAAAGAAGATAAATTAAACCTCACACTAGTAAAGAAGGAGAAACCTCTTGTTT